TAACCTTGAGCTATACACCTTGTTGACATGTTTTTGCTATCCAGGTTCTATTCATTATAACACTTCCTAAAATATCACTAATTGGTGAAGAGATCTTCCTTGTGGCCACTCTATTTGAACATCTGTTGACTCATTCTTTGGAGTGACATTTCATGTACGCTATTGCCTACACCTAATGTAACTACTTCATCTAATCTACACATTTGCTCGTTTGTTTAGTTGTCTTGGTGCCTTTGTGTTTCTCACTATGTTTTCAATTAGCTTGGTTGATGCTGAGAGTGGAGATAAACTAAACCAAGGTTTGAGGCCAGTTGCAAGGAACAGAGGGTGGTGGGTGGGAGTACACGTGCGTGCATGCTCGCTTTCGTGTGTGTGTGTGTGTGTGTGTGTGTGTGTGTGTGTGTGTGTGTGTAGTGTACTAGTGCAGATTTGTTGCCAGATTAGCAAATAAATTATTTTGGCCTCTTACTGGTGGTGGTGGACAGAAAATGCGTGGCTTGGCTGGAGAGAAGGCTCAGCTGTCAAAGTTTAGACTCACAATCAAAAATATAAGAAAATGCAGGGCTCATACAATTTGGGAAAACTACCTTTTGTCTTACCTATGCAGTCAGAAGCTAAAGCCAAGCTACCAGAGGGAAGAACTCAGTTTAAGGGTAGTTTACATAGAGCAATGTGGTCTGGCTCCAGAAGCTAGTTATTACCATTAGCCATGAGTATTTAATGGCTATTTGTAAGACTCATTTTTGTAGCTTGCCTCTTCTTGTATCCACAAAACCTTTGCCAGTTTGTACAAGCTGTTCCGTTTTCTCTCCCCACTTCAGTTTTTCTCCATTCCCAAGGCTGCTGCTCTCTAGATAGCAAACTTCTGCTCATTTATTGACTTAACCCCACCCTTACCTTTTAAGGGGGACACTTTCTTTGTCTCCCCAGGTCGACAGCTTCCTACACCAAACTGAACATTTTGCCTTGCCTCTTCCCTGTTTCCATGGAACAAATACAAGTCTCTGTTGAATTGCATTGAAATGAATTGTTTATCTATTCATGTTTAACTCCTTGATATTTAGCACAATGCTTGGAATGAGGAGGCACTTGATAAATGATTGTTGACCACTCTCTAAGTATGCATAGTGACTCAAGTGTTGTGATTAAGTAGCTGTAAGCAGTGTGAAGAACTTCCTAATGGCCTTTGTGTAGCTTTTTATTTTTTGCATATAATACATGAAATTATGTATTATATAAAAATACCCAGGGAATCTGGAAGGCCCTGTCTCATGTTTTTCTCTTTTCTCTCCTGCAAATCTTGTCTCATTTTAAATTTATTTCTCATTTTTCTTTTTTCTTTTGCAACAAATACAGGGAAAAGGATAAGAAGGAATCTTGTGTGTCTAAGTGGCTGTGGGGACACACAGTTGTCAAACATCCTTCTACTGAAGTACTCCCCTAGCCTAAACTTTGGTTTGTAGGGGCCTTGCAGCTCAGCACTGGCTTATGTCCTTTTCAGGGAATTTATAATTCACACGAAGCTGGGGAAAGGCTGCAATGAAGAGCAATAACAACTTCACCTCTCAGCTTTGCAAAATCTGTCTCTTAAGTATCTGCACCCAGATTTACCATCTCCTTTTTTGAGGGCTGGCCTGCTCCAACCTTCCCTCCCAGCCTGCACCTCCCAAGACTGCAGACTACTCTTCCTATGCTGACTGTGTATACAGTGGACAGCTGTCTTTGGGGACTCTGACTTGATGATAGTCTGTTCATAATCTCTTTGATTAGTTCTCTGTGATTAGCTTCTAGTTTGTAGATATAGGAACAGAGGTGGAGAGAAGCTAAATTTGGTATAGGCAATACAGGAAGTTAAGGAATATTTGTACCTAGGTATGCCCTTCCAACTCTGTTTTAAACGTTTCTCCCTTGTAAGGTTCCAGAACCTTCCTTGTGGCTATGGCCTTTGCATTCTTTGTATGTGTGTGTGTGTGTGTGTGTGTGTGTGTGTGTGCGCGCCTGCGTATGTGTAGTTCTCCACATGTTAAAAAATTTTAAACTAATTGTATCAGCTATGTTTAAGGTGTTAAACACAATGCTATGGGATGAAAACCCATGGTTAACAGGTTACTACAGCAAAGCAAACTGACACATCTCTCCCCTTACTATTACTAATTTTTGTTTCTGTGGCCAGACTAGCTACATTCTACTCACGTAGCAGGAATGCCATATAAAAGTAAAATTTTACCAGTCTTCTACCTTTTGAATCTCTATGGCTTCTGGTTCTGTTCCTCCAAAGTAGTGGCTCACCACCCCATCCTAGCAGGTATGTAAATCTGTTCTTTCCCCAGTTCTACAACCCCTGTAAACCAGAATGGATATTCCCAGGCAGCACCTCAGAAATCCAAACCAGTGAGACGTGCCCTGTCCATGACTTGGAAGAGGAGGTGGTGAATGGGTGTGCAGCCAAGTCCACTCTTACCTTCTGGCTGACTCTCCTCAAGTGTGTTGGGGAGATACCTGAGTGTGGTCTTTAATGCACCTGATCCCTGTTTCAGGTTTAAACCCTGGTGACTCCTGACTTCAGTCCCCTCTCCGACAAATGGAAACAGCTGTATCCATCTCTTTAAATAAGTGACTCAGGCTGTTCTTTGGTACGTTTCTGTCTATAGCTCAGGTGGAGGAAGTTGGGCTTTGAGACCTGAGAGGCTGGGAAGGCTACTGTCAATTATGTTCAATTAAGCATCTGTCCAATAGACCAGCAAACATGAACTGAAACTCTGGGATGATTTACCCTCTCTCTTTAAAGCTGGGAAGGGGGTGGGGGCATCCTCTTTGGGACTACGTTTTTCTTATTATTATGGTGTTATGTAATCATTTTACTTATTTCTCATTAGATTAAATCCTTTGTTGTTGAGACAGGGTCCATGTTGCCCATCATGGCCTCAAACTCATGATCCTCCCCCATATCTTTCCAAGAGCTCTCTCTCTATCGCTCTCTCTATATATATGTATATGTGTGTGTATGTATGTGTATATATATATATATATATATATATATATGGATCTAGATATCTTTTACATTATTTATTGTGGGGTGTGTGTGTGTGTGTGTGTGTGTGTGTGTGCAAAAGGTACTTGCCATAGCATGTGGGGAGGTCAGAGGATAATCCTGTGGAGTTGGTTTTCTTCTACTTTTATCTGGTTTCCCGGGACTGAACTCTGGTCATCAGGTATGTGCAGCAAGCATCCCCTTTACCTGTTTAGCCATCTTGCTAGTCCCTAGGCTGAATTTTTAATCATTTACTTCTTTTATTTTTATGTGTATCGATGTTTCTGCCTGCATGTCTGTGTGAGGGTATTCGATCCTCTGGAACTGGTGTTACAGATATTTGTGAGCTACCATGTAGGTGCTGGGAGTTGAACCTAAGTCCTCTGGAAGGGCAGTCAATACTCTTCTTAATTTCTGAGTCATCTCTCCAGCCCTAGACTGAAACGTATAGAGCCCATATCTTATTTTCCTGCATGGTACTGTCCTAATCTAGGCCATCTTGCAAAATATTATTTTTAACTATGTAAAGGTGTGTTAATTTGTTTATGCTGCCTTTGCTTAACCATGTAAAGATGTGTTGCTGTTTCACCTTGCCTGCCTAAGGTACCTGATTGGTCTAATAAGAAGCTGAATGACCAAGAACTAGTCAGTAGTGGGATATGTGGGGGGTGGCGGGCAGAGAGAGTAAGTAGGAAGAGGAATCTAGCCTAGAGAGACACCCAGGGCCAGCCAGGCATTCAGCTGCCGGTTAGTCAGATATGAAGGAAGCAGGAAAAGTAGAGCATACAGAAGGAAAGAAAGGCAAGAAGCCCCGAGGCAAAACACAGCTGAAGAGAAACAGGTGAAAATGTTGTAAGAGCTAATGGGACAAGCATAAGATAAGGCCGAGCATTCCTAATTGATAATGTCTCCCTGCCATGATTTGGGAGCTGGCTGGTGGCCCAAAAGCAAGCCTGTAGTCACTACTTTGTCCCTGGATGATGCCAGCTTTTCCTACCCTATACCCTGCTCATTTCTGTTTAAAAGCTCTGCAGAGACTGTTTGTAAGACAAGGACCCTGTGTCCTCTCTTTCACTTCTCCTGGCCTCACTTCTTCCAATACTCACAGGGATGCTGTAACCACAATTATATCGACTGACTCCACTCCTTTCAAGTCTCTGATTCAAGTTGCCTTATGAATGGAACTCACCTAGGGAGCCCTCTTTCAAAAGAAGACTATTCTCTTTCTTCTAGTGTTCCATACAGCTCCGTCCTGATCTGGTTTTTCCTATATCACTTAACATCTTCTAACATATTCTTTTTATTTTATCACCTTTCTCTCCGTCCAAGACAGGGTTTCTCTGTCTAACAGCCCTGGCTGTCCTGGAACTCACAGAGATTCACCTGCCCCTGCCTGGGACTAAAGGCGTGCCACCACCACCCCGCTCAATTTTCCCCTCTCTTTTGTTCACGGACTCATCTTAGGCACTACTGTAGTGCCTGGTACAGTGATTGGAAAAATCCTTATTGGACAAATGAGTGGATAAACTTTCAGACTATCACTGGAGTATCATGGAGAAAAATGGACCCCTTGAATTCCCATTGCCAGGAGGTGCTTGGCAGATGAAGTGTTTGTTCAGTGTTCCATGATGGAATGGGGGGAGGGCTTCACGCTGTACAGCTCGGCAAAGTTGTCAGGGCCAATTCTCTGGGACCTTAGCCTTCTCATTCAACCAAACTCACTGACATCCATCTAACAATCGAATGTACAAACACTGAGCACCTGCTGTGAGTTCACAATTGTTCCTGTTGCTGCAGGGAGAGTGCAGCGTGACTTAACGCAACATCTGCAACAGCAAGTAGTATCTCCTAGGGCAATTAAGTGTAGAATGACAGGGCAGATTGTCAACTCTAGGAGTTCAGTGGTAGGATCAGTGAAAACTGAAGGTAGTCCAAAGTTTACCGCAAGTCTGAGGCTCAAGCACGCAAGTCGGAACGGCCCTGCTAAACGCTTCACCTGTTGATAGGAAAGCCACGACCTGACCACAGAACTTGAAATGGAGAGGATGACGCGCCCGGGGCAGTGACAAGATGGCATGCCTTGGTAGGGAGGGGCCTTGAACCCAGCTCTTGACGTTCCGAAGGACGCCTGTCCCCAGGCAAGGTCCAAAGTGCCCCGGTGGCGGCCGGGAAAACCCGATCTGTGTGCTAGTCTGGGCGGCGCAGTGGCAGAGGTTGTAAGGCAGGGAGGTCACGAGGTGCATTCCTCAGGCGCTGGAATCCCGGGACAGGGCCCGAGGCCGCCCTTAAGTCTGAGGCTCAAGCACGGCCAAGCATTCAGCATCCAGCCACTGCTGGTTCCGGCCGGCCGCGAGCAGGGAGAGCCGCAGGAGCCCAGGGGCACTACTTGTCCCGGCGGAGGAATCCCTCACACTCCGCGGTAGCCGCGACAGGGCGGACCGCGGCGCGGAGGACGCCGGGCCGGCAGCGCTGCGACGTCGCGGGAGGCGGGGGTGGGAGGGAGCGGGCCGGGAAGTAGTTCCGGGTGCGCGGCCCCGGATGTTGGCTGCTCCCGCCGCCGCCGCCGCCGCCGCCGCTCTGGGCGCCGCTCCGGGCCTGGGCCGCTCTCTAAGGGCGCCGTTGGGACCTTTCGCGGGGAAGGGAGACGCACGCAGCGGCCGGGGGCTCGGCCGGGCCGTTCCGGCCTGCGCAGCCTGAGGTGAGCACGCGTCGCCAGGGTCTCGTCCCGGCTGGGGCGGCGGGCGGGGAGGCGGGGCTGGGGCATCTCCTGGGACGCGGGCGGGGGCTGCCCTGGGCGAGCGGCGCTCGCTCCCCTCCGCGCACGCTCCCCGTGGCCGGCGGGTGGACGCCGGGCCCGGCCAGGTCGGGCCGGGCGGGAGGCGGCCTTTCTTCTCCCGCGGAGCAGCTCCTCAGCTGCCGCTGCCCCTCAGCCCAAAGCCGCTCGCGCCTGCCCCTCCCCCAGGTGGGCCCGCGCCGCGGATGCCGGAGCGGCGGAGGACCGCGACAGTCGCGTCCTCGCCGCTCGGTGACCCGTGCTTGGCCCGGCCTCGTCCGGTTCCCGGCGCGATGCGGCGGTCTCCATGCCCCGGTCATTTTTCTTGGCCGGACGGCGGCCGATGTCGAGGGTGCCCTGCGGGGGTGAGGAGGACGGGGCCAGGGTCCCGCCTTCTCGTCCATCCTGTCGTGGCGTCCTTCTCCGGCATTGGGGCAAAGGCAGCCTTCGCATGCGGACGTGTTGCTGCTGTCCTGCGTGTGTTGCATCCTGCCCACGTGGTAGTGTCCCGTCCCTCCCACCCCCTCCATTTTTGCAGTTGGTCAAGAGGGACTTAGCGGGATGGTTTTGTTTTGTTTTTTTCCCCCCTGCTTTCCACCGGCCACCCCCCGTGATTTCTACCGGGCAGCGTGGAAGGTGTTAAGGTCAGTTTGTTTTGCTGAGAATGACTGTTGTTTGATGGATGAATCAAGAGTTGTACTCTTACGAAATTGAGACCGGTAGGGGACATACCAGACGTTAGTTCATTGACATTTTTTCAACCCCAGTAGCTCTTGTTCTTTTCTCTGCCGCTTAATCCTCTAGAGAGAGCAAGCTCTTGCTACTGATGTGTTGATTTGCACGATTTTTCTTCTACTTTCTGTGTCTCTGTGGGCTAGTGTTTTCTAGTCTGTGTTGGTGCTGTGCTCTCTGGTTGTTGCTAGATTCCTGAATGAGTCGTGTCAGGGAGCTAGAGATTGGCGGGCTTCTTTTCGTCTTTTACTGTTTGCCCTTATTTTTTTCCTTGTGTTTTGTTCCCCAGTGAAAAAAGTATGCGTGTTCTATTGGGAGCTAGTTAAATACGTAGCTTTTCTTTGGCGGATGGACTAGGTAGTTGACTCGGCTGCTCTGAAAGTTCTTATAGTCCATTTTTCTAAAGTGCACTAGGTACTGTTGGACTGTTTTATTTTTGTTTGTTTTTTAACACTGGTTTTGAAGCACGTGAGCTTTTTAAAAAAATTGTTATATTTTTTTTTTCCATTAATAGCTCTTCCAGGTTAAGGTTCCCATCTTGGCTGTGTTTTGCTCTTTGGAGATCACAGATTGCTTTCTTTCCAGTAGCAGTGACAGATGCTTTTTATTCCTTTTAAACCATAGCTCGTATTGATTCAGAAAACGATAACTGCTCCCCACCCCTTTTTTTCAAGCCAAGTGATCTCCATCTTTATGTTAAGAAGGCCTGTAGATGTGGTTGACTTTGTGTTTTTAGATGAGTTTGGAGGTTGCTCTTTCCTGTTTGTTTTGGAATTGAGGTGAATCTTTTTCTGTGTTGCTGGGGATTTCTCCTGCTTTTATTAGATATTTTGTGGACGAGGTCAAGAATGTTTATTTTGGCTTTCAGTTTATTAGTTTGGGTAAAATAAAACTTAACTGTTTTGAAGTTACCCTTGTGAAAATTTCCATTTTCTCTTATTTTTCACACTGAAGCTTTTCCTTTTTATTTATTTTAGAGAGCCTTTTGTAGACCAAGCTGTCTTCTAACTCAATGTGGTGAGGGCTGGCCTTGAACTCTTGATCATGCCTTCACCCCCCCCAAGTACTGAAATTACAGGCCTGTGTGTTGCTACTTTAGCTGGGTACATTGTAGTCTTTTGATACTGCCTTTTCCCACTTTATGAGATACAGGTGTCAGCATATTCTTCCTGTCCTATGTAGAATACAGGTATTTAAATACAGATTCTGCTTTCATTATGCTATGGGTGGGACTGTGAAAAATAGAACCTTGTTGATATATTCTGAGGCATACTTTTATAGTAAGGCAGTCAGTCAGCATTTGTATACTTGTGTAAAGGAGCATGCTGTGAAGTAACACATGTAAAGAGACACAAGGACTAAAATAATGGGTGACTGAAAGCTTCAACTTCTGTTGAGGAAGGAGCCGGAGTTGCCTACTTTGGAGAAGCTGCTTTATCCATGGGTCATATGGACTAAACAGCCTTCACATTTGAAATAATGCAACCAAATAAGTGGTGTGTAAAAACAAAAAAAGAATTTCCAATGGTGAAGAGGCTTGCTTAGGAGATTTAAAGGGACTTGTAAATGTGCAAAAGTGGCTGGTTATATGGGATATCAAGTAGCTTGACATGTCACAGAGCATTGTATTGGTGAATAAATATGTGTACTTACAAGAGTGGCTAAGATACATTGGTTGAGGATCCTCAAGGATAGAGGGTTTGGTGTGGTAGGATGTCAGTGTTTTCTCTAGACAGTGAAATGATGTATATTGTATCCAAGGAAGGTTTCTGTCAGCTGAGTGTGCAGGAAATGGGGAAACTGACTAGAATGTTTTAGGAATAAGATGATGATCTGATACAAGGAACTGGTTGTGAAAATAAATAATATTTATTGAATGCTTACACCATTCCTGGAACTATTGTAAGCTCTTCTTTACATATATTTAATTTATTAAGTCTTCATCTTAAGTCTTGCAGTCATGAAGTGACTTAGGGCAGGGACTTAACCATATACATTTATTTAATCATCATTTATGGTGAGTAGTCAGGTGAAATGTAGATTTGCTGTGATAGGCCTGCAAGTGGTAGTGAAGCACTTGAGTAGTTGATGTTTCTCAGGAGGGATATAGTACAGTGGGGGAATCCTGAAGAATTTGTAATTTTACAGTAGACTAATAGGAAAATGAGAAGAACCAGGAAGTAGGTTCTGCCACAGAAGCCAAGAATAGGAAGGTTTTCTACAAGGTAGGATTGTTGACATAAAGTTTAAAAAATTCATGGACAGTGACCTTAATGCAAAGATGATTGAACTAGACCAGAAAGAATTTTGAAAGGAAGGTAAAGACTGACAAATTATGTTTTCACAGGATCTGTAGAGATTTTATGCAGCATGCTAATATTTTAATATTTTCTTCTAAAGTTTCCTCTGGTATTATTATTGATCATATCAGAGTTACTTAGTTGTCAAAAAATGAGTTTGTCTTCAGAAAAGACAAACTGGTTTAATCTCCCCACTTGGGAGGCTGAGGCAGGAAGATCTCTGAATTGGGAGACCAGCCTGGATTGCAGAGCAAGTTTGAGGATAGCCAGAGCTACATAGAGAAAACCTGAAAGAAAGTGACTAGTTTTTTTGTTTAGTTTTGTTTTTTGAGAAAGGGTTTCTCTGTGTAGCTTTGTGACAAGCTGACCTTGACCTCACAGAGATCCACCTGCCTCTGCCTCCCCAGCCCTGGGATTAAAGGTGTGTGCCAACATGCCACTGCTTCCTGGCTGAAACTAATATTCTGAAGATAGTTACTTTCTACTCTTAACTGTTCTTTTTTTGTTTGCTTCTTTCCTCCCTACTCCCCTCCCCTCCCCCTCCCCTCCCCTCCCCTCCCCTCCCCTCCCCTCCCCTCCTCCCTCCCTCCCTCTCTCTCTTTCTCTCTCTGTCTCTCTGTCTGTCTCTTTCAATAGGGTTTCTCTATGTAGTACTGATTGTTCTGGAGCCCTGTGTAGGCCAGGCTGGTTTCAAAGTCAAAGATCTTCTTTCCTGTGCCATGGAGTTCAGGGATTAAAGGTGTGTGCCTTCATGCACCAAATTGGACATTGACAGTCTTTTGTGTCTGACTCCTTTCCTGTTTTAAGGGTTGTTGATGTAGTATGTTAGTGTTTCAGTTTCTTTGATTGCCAGATAATATACAGTTTTTTAAAAAACCTTTAGTCATTGTCATCTAATCTTTACTCTGTCAACTCTTTATGGCTTAATTTTTAGTTTATAAATTCTACTGTGCTCTACTAGGCATCAGGGATCTAAAAGTAAGTATGCATGGTTGGTCCTTGAACATGTTTAGAGCTTTCATGGTGTATATGTGTTTTCTCATATATTATCTCATTTGATCACACAGCAAAACTGCAGTGTAGGAAAACATCTTTAGGATAGCCTGTCACGTTAGGTGAACCTGCCCAGGATTGCACTTGAAGTGCTGGAACAGATGTCATCTTTGCTTTTTTCCATTTCTACTATTTTTTGCTATTTAAAGGATCCCTGTGTAAATTTCTGGAGAATCAATGGGATGGGGACTTGGAAATCCACATCACTTGGGGAAATCACTTTTTTTTTTTTTTTTTTTTTGGTGGTGGGGGGGTTTGAAAAAACAAATCCTGTGTGGGCTTAAGCTTGAAGCTATTTCTGCCTCTCCCTCATTAATGTTGGGAGATAGTATAGATAAGAGCCACCACATCCCACCTGGGAATTACTGAATTTTCATGATGACTCTTTGAGACCCACAGTGAAGATTTAGCAGAATTTTGTTGCTTGTTTGCTCTGTTTAGACAAGTGATTTTATATTTCTGCCCTTTGTCTTAGAGTCTTAGGACTTTAACGGTTTTAATGTGATGGTAATAAGGCATATTAGTAAACTAAACTAAAATTTGAAATATTATTTTATCAAAGAAATGTTCAGAATATAACATACGATCCTTAGAACAATTACCAGATTTTCACAGATGAGGAAATGGGTGGGCACTGAAAGGTGAAATAACTTGCCTAAAGGCACATAGCTAGGAATGGAAAGAACCAAGTTTTGAAGCTTCACAGTCTAATTTCAGAACTCAGAATTAATCACTGTACTGTTTTTGCTTATTGATAAATTAATAAAACATAACTTTTCAAGGAAGAGCATGAACAGAATATGAAGATTGGATTGTGAATATAGTTGGAGAGGCAGTGAAAATGACTTGAGCATTTCCTTTTTTTTTTTTTAATTTTTATTTTGGAACAAGTTTTTTTTTTTTCTTTTAAGATTTATTTATTTATTATGTATACAGTGCAGTGTTCTATGTGCATGTACAGCTGTGGGCCAGAAGAGGGCACTAGATCTCATTA